CTTTTGAAGGGCCCATGAGTAGATTGGGGATGGTTGAGGAAAGATCTCTGAGCTTGAGAATATGTTAATAGAAATTTCCAAAAAAGGAAGTGCAAAGCGAATAAAGACCAAGACTAAAAAATGAAACATAATATCCAAGAACTGTGGGACAACTACAAAAGTTGTAACATACATGTAATGATAACATAAGGAGAAGAGAAAGGAACAGAAAAAATATTTGAAGCAATAATAACAGAGGATTTCCCCCAAATTAATGTCAGACATGAAATCACAGATCTGGGAAGCTCAGAGAATTCCAAGCAATAAAAATAAAGTTTAAAATTTTAGAACTATGAATTCAAACTGCAAAAAACAACAGATAAAGAAAATATATTAAAAGTCAGGGGATATTAAAAGAAGTCAGATATTTCTTGTTTGCTATTATTTCCACTATTTTTTGGGGGGGGGTGCTTTATGATTTTATACCTTGTTCAATAGGAACATGACAATAAGGTATTTGAGGATACAAGTAAGACTCAATATCTTGCTATAAAAGCAAAATAAATTTTAGATCTACAAAAAAAATAGTTTGAGATTTGTAAAGCTTTTGTTATTATGTAGTTCTTCCATTTAATTTCTATTGTGGTAAAAACAAACCACCAAAAATGTAGTATTTCACCAATTTTAGGTGTGCAGTACAGTATTGTATTTTCATTTTCATTTATCTAGAGATATTTTCTGATCTCCCTCATGGTATCTTCTTTGAAACCATGGGCGGTTCAAGAGTGTATTTCTTAGTGTCCATATATTTGTGAATGTGTTAGTTTTCCATTTGTTATTGATCTCTAGTTTCATTCCTCTGTGGCAGAGAAGATATCTGGTGTAACTTCAGGCTTCTTAAACTTGGTCAGATTGATAAGGTGTCTGGAGAACGTTCCAGGTGTGCTACTCTGCAGCATGTCCTGTTTATGTCTGTTAGGGAATGTCTCTGAGACAAAATCACCGACCTTTGGGAAATTAGTTCACAGTCCCGTTTTTTTCCTTGAGTTTCTAATTCTTCTAAGTGAGGAAAAACTACACATAAAATATATAATGTGTATGAGCACATTATAACACACACTATCTGATAAATGAATTGACTTACATAATTGAAAGTACTATCATTGGTTTTTGTGAGTGAGTTATATCATTTCTATGAGCCTGAAGGCATTTAAATCTCCTGCCTCCTACCCATCCTTCTCAGGAAGCCACGGCATTTAGGAAACTTCAACCACTGAGGTTTGGTAGTGGGGTCTCTCATTTCTTCCTGCATAAAACCCCTTTAGATTTGCCAGAATCCATCCCTTACGAAAGCAAATGTAATACCACATATAATTAAATCTACTTGCTATTTTATCGATCAGTGTCCCCACCTCATACCTTGACAAAAATACTCACATGGAGGGATAATTTCCCTGAGAGCTTCTTGCTGCTGAGATCCGGCAGCACAGGGCTGTTGCGCAGCTCCACGGTGTCGGTGACAACATACAGATTCACCCCTGCTTCCCGGCATTGCCTCAGGAAGTCCAGCTCTGGGTCCGGCAGTTCCCTGTGGGGAAGAGAGGGTCAGAGTGGGAAGAGATGCCTTCCCGGGTGGCCCTGCGTCACCCTCCTCCTCAGGACCTGGAAGGGGTGTTCCTGCCACAGGCAGAAAGATCCTGGCACATGGGGTAAGTTACCAAGAAAAGCGAAACATCTTTGCTACGCAGGGTGCAGGGGCCCCATTTTCTGATGGGGGCATGGGAAGGAGAGTACACAGGCCATTTTGTGAAAGGCATCGGCATTTTCCAAAATTATATTGGTCCTGTTGGAGGGCAGTTTATAGATGCCCAGTGCCTGGGCCTCTCACCTGAAGAGGCCGGGAGTGGACAGGTCCATGTGGTTGACAACAGTCCCCAGGGAGCCTAACAATTGGCAGGGGTGGGCAAACTTTTTGACTCAAGGGCCACAATGGGTTCTTAAACTGGACTGGAGGGCCAGAACAAAAGCATGGATGGAGTGTTTGTGTGAACTAATATAAATTCAATGTAAACATCATTACATAAAAGGGTACGGTCTTTTTTTTTTTTTTTAGTTTT